TGTTTAGTTTTTCCAAGCGTAGAGATAAAAATTTTTCTACAAATTTCTTTAGTGCGTATACCCATTAATATATTTACCAATACACCATTGGTTATATCAATTTGGTAAAAATTGGTAAAAATTGATTTTGAAACAACTATTTTTTCTTAATGTGTAAAATGATTCAATTTTTACATCAGCATATTTTCTAGTAAGAACTAGTTGGTACTTGGGGGAGGGGGGTTAAAGAGTAAAAATAACTGCTATTTTTAAAATGTCATTGAGTACAGGTAAAATTTAAAATATACCTACTATGTAGAATTTTGTCCTAAGAATAATTTTTTTTAATCTATAACACAATTGAAAATTTCGTAACAATTTGAACCTTCAACAACTATACATAATAAAATAATGTTACCTTTCAGTTAACATTTTTTTTCAAGTATAAGTTATTAAAATACATTTTCTTATGAATTACCAACTAAAAATAATTTTGCACATTTTTGTCGGTATTCTAACTAGAACACTCATACAAATTGTAGTGAATTTACGCTCCTTTTAATTACACTAATAATAACTTATGAGGAATCTAACTTTTCGACCAAAAACCATCTTTATCGACAAATGAAAAAAATTGAAGAACATCTCATGCTCATAAATAGCTCCTAGGAGTCAAAATAATTTTGAATGTTAGAGAGTATAAAAGTTAACAACGTTGACATATAAGATATATACAGACATATAATGTATAAAAAATTCGTATTCCGTAGCCGTTAATTTGTATGGTATTCAAATACTCAATTCAAGTCTTAAGTCAGAATAATAAACTAATATTATATTATAGGCTTCGACGAAAATAATCAAAATAGTTTTTCCCTTCCACTTTTATATTAGGAAAATAACATTGCCAAATATCTTAATTCTACAGTACGTGTGAATGTCACTGAATTCCTCCTAAATGGCTGGACCGATTTTAATGAATTTTTTTGTATGCGTTTGGGTGACACCCCGGATGGTTTAGATTCACAATTGGACCCGATAGGTCCGACTCGGGGAGTTGCTCAAACAGGGATTTTAAGATTTACGAAGGAAATATTTGTTTGTATATGGTTGCTATTGGTTATAAGAGGAATATAAAAGTATTTAGTAGAAATTGATATTTATTTTTGTTTATTGGTTGCCCGCAGTGGTTCATCGGGCAGATCAGGTAAAAGCATGCATACAGTTGATTTTCGCACATTGCTTACCAAGGTGGCTGTGTTGCACTTTTAGCCGCTCATCGGTGTGTCCACAATCAAAATTAAAATAAAACATATTATTTCATCAAGCGGGGTCAGCAATCTACAGGAGGTAGGCATAATATACTGCTCGCATTATCACCATCGAGTCTCATATAGAGTTGGCATTTTTAACGGGCAACAAAGTGCACGGGATCAACTTGTAATATTATACAATTATTTTACTTCTAACTAGAAACAATATATAAAGGTATACCACTATATTTAATTTTCAAATACAAATTCATACAAAACAGTATTTCAATTTTAGTTACATTTATTCAAATATAAGATTGCTTTTTTTTGTTTCACCATACAAGCATTATTGTCGGTGGGGTTCATAATTCTGTTGAAATAATTATAAATAAAAATACACTCTTAGTATAAAAAGAAACAATATTTTGTTTTTGTGAACAATTTTTCTTTTATTCGGTGTATAAAAAGTGTTCACAAAAATAAAATAAAAATGTATTAAATTTCATTAAATATAATAACTATTATGCATTTTCAGTGCTAATACACATAATATACAAGAACAATTTTTAAACATTTAATAGCCGTAAATAATCAAAATATTATGTCAAAAGACTTTAAACAGTTTAGAACAAAAATCGTTGAACAAAAAATATGGCTCAAAGCAGCCCAGCAATTTTTAATAATGAAAAAGATACAAAATAATATAACAGCTATAGTAAAAATAACGAAAAATACACCAGACAATTCATAAATAGCAGGAGGGAGTGGTACGTGAAGGCGAGGTGTGTGCGTTAAGCATAGGTTACTGGCCACCTCCATACTTTCTCACGGCCGAACCCGTGGGTGGACGAGTGCAGTCAACCGTTAGGCTCGCGGCCGACGACTATCACGAAGGCGGACAAAAGCGGACCGCAGCGGCCGCTGGAGCGACGAGACGGTTGATGATGAGCGGATAGCGCGCGATGTTGGGCGCATCGATGATGCGAGCTAGTGCTGAAGACGATGACTGATGTGGCGACGGTGACGGTATGACCAAAGAACACTGACAGAGCTAACACAGCTATTGGTGCTGCGGAATCGACGGCGACCGGTGTATAGGATTACCAGTGGACGATAAATCGGGATACTGATACTTCGGGGTTTGTTCCCTGTGGCCGTCCAGGAGTCATGCACCTCCGTACCCCGGTCGGTTTTCCCTGGTCCGGCGGTGCTGGCGTCCTTGTTCCTAGCTTAGCTATCTATCGCTCCCCCGTCGTGTTTTTCGGTCCCCAGTGCAGCCGTCGTGCACGCAGTCGCAGTCATCGTCGTGGTGCCGTCTCGGGGAGGCGTCGTTGTCAAACGTTTGTCTTCTCTCTAACGTTGTCTTCCGCTGTTCCGTCGTCTGAAGCAGCCGGGCCTAGCCGCCTGACGGTCTCGGCATGCCGAACGCCGCGAGAGCGCGCGACGCTGTCAACTGTGTTCCCGTCGCACCGCGGGAGGTCGGAGAACGTATTTCGGTGGCTTATCGCGCGGCTTACACAGTGAAGTGCTCTTTCACGTGCCACTCCCCACCGCCTCCGCATCCGCGAGGTCTTGTCTTGATGTTCTTCAGCTGTAGAGCGGGAGGGAGTAGGAAACTGCGGATCTCATTCCCTTCGCGGCAGCAAGTTCTAGCAGCCGCACAGTAACAGGCGCTTCACGCCTCTGCACGCGACAGCGAAGGTGCGCCTCGGCCGACCGCGCGAAGTTTGCCCGGTTACTAGGGTTGCCGCCGGTTCCTTCAGCATGTCCTGCAGTTCCACATCTTCCCTCACTTCTTGTTTTCCCTCAGCCATGCCTGCTTCCTCGTCGACCACGCCGCCCTGTCCGGTGTTCCCAGACGTCCCGGAGGACTCCAGTACTGATTTGGTGTCGGCCGCACCCTCCAGCAGCACGCTGCGCACCGCGTCTTCGATATCCGTCACGATGACGCCGATCACGTGGTCTTCATCTTCGTCGTTTGGAATGAATGGTTTCTCATCGGGCCGATGGAATATTAACCTATTCGATAATCGTCATCTTATTATCCGCGAAGCTCAAAACGTTTGATTCTAAGGTCACAACGATTATATCGTGAACGGTGGACATTTTTTTCGATGTGTGGTTTGGTCAAACTCTAAAATATGACGGTTAGGTTTAATTGCGATTCGGAAGCTTATTCGAAAAATTCAAACATTTCCCCGGCGACGTTTATTACATGCCAGCGAGTTCGGCGGTCATCATAAATAGAATAACCAGTGTTAGCTGGATTTTGGGCTCGTTCGTTTTTCCAAAAACCATTATTCATTAATAATTATTATCGATGCATTATATGCGTAGTTATTGTAGCATATTATATAATATTTTAACGAAGATTTGCAGTGTTTCGATTTTTACTATACTATAGCTGCACAGTAAGCTCCGTCTTATAATTTCAGGAGAAAGCTTTTAGATTCTGAGCGAACGATGAAATGTATTGGTTTTATAACGACGAGTGTTTGTTTTTTTTTTCAGACAGATTACCAATAGAATAGCTCAATAATTTAGTTAGATATTTTTTGTACATATTTAATAAACCTATGACCAAAAGAAATACATTTTAGGTTTCCCGTTAGTGTTTTTTCTTCAGATTATGTTAATTGTGTGGCGACCAACAATATAATTAGTCCTTAAAGTATTGATACGCACACCAAAAGCGATATACTAACATACAATAATAATTACGCGCACATACCTAGTAATAATAATAATAATAATAATAATATATAATTTATTTAGCAAAACAAATTATAAATTTTATAATTACATATAACGATATACACTACCTATATACAATAAATAATAGGTACATTAGTAATAACATGTTTGCAATTCAAAATAATAAAAAAACAGTAACTCAAAAAATGATCTCAGGTCTGACCTGCAGTGGCATATCTATGAGAGAATATAATAGTTGTCATATCACTCTACTTCCTGGAGACAAAATGTTGTACACAAAACGGTATGTGTATATAAATATGAACATAATGAATATGTCCATTAAAATCATTACATACCAAGGGATATATGGATATAAAGAGATCTTTATATGTACCACGGGACAAAGGTATTCTTCGAAAATCTGTCTCAAACGATCGGACCGATCAGAAACGACGGAGCTGAAGCACCCGTATAATAATCATAAAAACAGCAATGAAACTCGAAGATGGCAAATCGGTGATTTTTTTAAAAATTATGTGTATAAACACTTTATACAATTGAGAAACTAGAATGGCCCTCGGAGACATCGTTGTGGTTAATTTATTCGGAGTTCCGTTTCTGTAACTCTTATAAGTTATAACCGCACAACTGTCTAATGGTTATCACATTATCAGTAGGTAAATACGATGAGGAAAAATAAACAACATGCATTTTTGTACCTCACCATGATTTGAGAACAATTTTATTTAAGAAAAAAAAAATACATAATTATAAAAGTATAGATTTACACGATCATGAAATAAAAATTTAAATAACATCATAGTCCTGTGTGTCAAATTATGTAAACAATTAAAAATATAATAATATAATAAGGTTAATATAAAGGGTACTTGTTCTAGTAGTGAATACTATGATACAATGATATTTTAATTTATAATAATATAACGTTAGTAGTTTTATGACGTCGTCCCGGTACACGAAAACACATAGATACGCTTATTAAATTTTGCGAGTACGATTTATTGTAATCGCAAACCAAACAATTATAAATACGATAATTCATAATCGCACGTAATAGCAGGTACCTGCATAATATTATTGTGTTCTACGGCAAGTGCGAATAATATAATATACCGGTGGTCCCGTACATTGCACATGGAGGCAGTTATATGGCAGGTTTATACTATTATAGTATGGATATACACTGGCGCAAGAAAACATGATCCTGCTATAATACATTAACCGTTTTTGTTTTTAAAAAACATGCGAACGTTATTGTGTTATTTTTCGTAGACATAAATCTCGAACAAACAATAGCTGTATTTACGTTGCGAATAAATCGTACACGCATATAAAATACATGTTATACACGGCGTTGACGACGAAATAATGGCAGTATAAACAATGGTTAATTTTAGAGTGTGGGAGAGGGGTGGATTATTATAAGCACGCGTACATTATCGAGAGTACATGGGTGGGCGAAACCTACGACAATTATTTTTATCTTTTTAACAAGTATGAAATGGGTTCCATATTATTTTTATATTTTCAATACGTGTACGCGTGGTTATAATTTACATTAAAAAATGTGACCGCAACAAACATTGGTCAACTGAAAGACCACCGTTACCTCAGTAAAAACTTAAAGAAAATAATAGTTCATCAGCTAATAAAGTACATGTACAAATAGTTGAGCATGATGAAACATACACTAAAAAGAAATAAAACAAATTAAATACCTACTTGTAACTTATACTTATAAGTTGAATAATAAAATTATCGAGACAACTGCGAAGAATTGGATAACTTGCAGTAGCATCGTAAACTGTCTCGTTTGATAAAAGTGATTGTGAAGTCGATTTCCTCAACGATTCAAATGCCATATAGTTCTGAAAAAAGTCAAATCTGTTGATAAAGGTTTTTTCTTCAATTTTTTTTATAAAAATCACTACATATAAACAGTATAATAGATTTTTTATAAAAATGTAATGGTATTAATATTTTAAACTAGATCTTATTCAGAAATACTTTTATTTTTCAAAAATACAAAAATATAGACTAATAAAGGCTTAAGGCGGCCGATTATGAGGAATTACGTTAATATGTTACACATTATTATTACCAAGACACGTCTCCAATACTGATAATGCACAAATATTGACTAATATTTAATTTTTTTTTACCGATATCGTTTTTTATTTTAATCGTTTATTGAATGCTTTGGACCGATGATCGTTAAGTGTATTTCATTTTTTTAAACGACTATCAAGGAATATTATCTATAAACCATTCAATTACGAATACCGATTTAATTTTCTGAAATAAATGTTGTGGCCTTATTTCTCGGGCTAAAGGGAGTTTTTTTTTTGACATCGAGTCCTTCTAAATTCTCATACCCGACTTCAATGTCGTGCATGCACCGAGATGCACCGTGTATCCGTTATTAAAAACTTAACTATAGTTTAACTATACAATAATATTAACGAGGCCAATGTTTTGACTATAATTTTATGTCCGCGTACAAGGATCAACGTTAAAAATATTGTAAACACGCATACTGAATATATTAATTAAAAAAAAAACTATTTTATCTGAGAAAAGTTATACGATTATAATAATGAATGTAATTAAAATTATTTTATTGGATTAGAAAGAAGTACATTTTTACTGTTTTGATATCTTAATTATTGTTAGGACGACCCCTGCTTGATAAATACAAGTAACATAGAATGGGTTTCGTTACGATTATAAAAAAAAATAAAAATAAAATGCAACATCATTTGACCATTGAAAAAAAAAATTTTGTGGCAGCGGTGGGATTCGAACCCACGCCTCCGAAGAGACTGGTGCCTTAAACCAGCGCCTTAGACCGCTCGGCCACGCTACCTCCGTTACTTCATTCTGGAATAAAGGGTCATTTAGCCTGACTTATTGTGAAATCGACATGTTATATATAGACAAAAATAACGAATCATAAAACAAACTATAAAGTTAAATAAAAAAAATTTGAATGATTTGTTTTATCCCGATTTCCTATTGGTTACATTTTTGTAGTATATTTAAAATATTAAGGTAACCAATATTATAATTTAAAAATAGTTACTTACAACTCGTTGTTGATATTTTCTAGTTTATTGGAATCTTTAGATTTATTTTGGAACAAGGTGACATGTAAAATTTGGCACTGATTACTCTAAACAAAAAGGAATATGATTAATATTAAATGATTACTCATTTGGTTATTGTATGTATTTTGTCAATTGAAATTTATTTTAAGGGGCATGAATAGTATGGAAAAATTCTATGAAAATTTTTTTGGTATTTCCAATTTTATGGTTTATTAAGAGGTTTTAGAATAAAAACACATTTTTTAGAAGAGAAATTATCTGTGTGACTGTGTCAGTAAAAGAGTCAATTTTCAATATTTTAATTACTAAACTCAATAACTCAAATGGTAAAATATCACAAGTTTCAGAGTTAAATAATGGACATTTAAAATAAAATATTGAAAATTGTCTCACATATAGGCCTAGATAAATTTCTTCTCTTCAATTTGTATAGTAATACTGTATCTATATGATATACTCAGGCCCAGATTAAGACAAACGCGTAAAAAGGCTACAGCCCACAAAAGTCAAAACTGATTAACAACAAATTTAAGGGCACCATTCACAAAATGTTTTTTAAAATAATACTTTTTTTGATACCCCCTAGTTGCTCCTATGCTAGCGTTGTATTGTTGTAATTATAAAACTTACCAATATAAAATGATGATCAACCATAACCAAAACCTGCTTATTAATATTAATGATTTTTAAAAATGCTTTAGTAACTTCTGGTGCAATTGAATCAAGTTCATTATAACCAGTCAAACAACAATGGATCGCTTGACATGGTAAACTACAAAATTTATAATTCAAAAATCTTAATTCAGTCTTAGGTATATTATCAACTGTTCCATAGTCTGCATGAATTACCTATAAACATAATGTATAAATTAAATATTGTAAACATATAGTTACATTTTTTTTTATAATAACACCTACTTCAACAGTGGTTGAATTAACTTCTCTTAAAACTTTAACTCTATACCACTGTTTAAGGTTCGAAAATGAAGTATAAGATGTCGCATAAAATAGACCTGGTAAAATTTGTTCTGATTTAACTAAATAATTTGTATTTTTAGTGTCAAAAACATTTCTACAAAAAAAAATAAAAGATAAATATATTAGTACAAGTAGTAGTTTTACTAGTAGTTTTACAATAGTAAAATTGTTACTATTGTTTAAAAAAAAATATATTTACTGCATTTCATTTGTTAAACGGTCAAGTTCCTCTATCCTATGTTGCAATTGTAAATAAAATAAACTTGGATTATATGTTTCAACCAACAGCATTTTTATATTGTCGTGAATAGACAATTTTGGCTGATCTATGTTTGTACAGATTGTTTCAAAACTTAAATCAATATTTTGGAGCAAACATTTCTGAAAGTATGAATTTATTTAGTTAAAGGTGGATATATGCAGAACACCCACGCCTTTTTTTTCTGTCTTACACAAACATAATACAGTAAATGTACCAGTAAAAACATACTATCAAAGAAGTTAAGTCTTATTTTACTGAGATAATAAATTCAGGTACATTTATAGAGTATATTGGTCCTATTATAAGCCATTAGTCATTAAAGGTTCAATCTACTTTGTATTACAGCAAAATTAGCTTAATGGGATAAGCACATTTGCTGTTTTATGTTTGTAAGACAAAGATAATAAAATAAGTGGATATTGTGTTCAGTTTTTTTTATGTATTCTAAGATTTAATGATTAAAATTTCAACCAAACTTGTGTATTTACATTGTTATTTTCTAAATCCATATTTGCATACAATTTAAACTCATTTTTTGTGTACAATACATTATTTCGTACTTCAATAATTTGTTCAAATACATTTAACATTTGTTTGATAGATGTAAAACCAAAATCAATTGGATTTAAAATAGTATGGTACAGTTTCTGAAAATCCAACACAAATGAATATTGAAATGGTACAAACTGATAAAATATTGAAATATTATAGTACAAACTTACAGTATAAATTAACTTAAAATTCTCAATATTTACACCATTATAGTACTCCTTGAATATTCTCGCAATGTTTAACCTTACTAATTCAGGAATACATTGGTTTCCATTCAATGTTATTTTGTCTATGTCTGGAAATTAATATATTAAATAATAGTATACACCAAAAAAATATAAAATAAGTATAAGTTCTCTTTATAAGTATTTTTCACACTTTCCAAAATATGTACAGTAACAAATATCACACAGTAACAACACAGTTTTGTAATATGTAATATAAAATAAGATTAAGTTAATATAATTAATTAACTAACAAATAAACTAACTTTGAAATAATTTAAATCAATTAGTATTCATCAAGAAACATGCATTTAATGTTATTATGAAAATATTAGTACCTAGAGCACAACAATTTTGGCAAATAATGTCAAAATCATTAGTGAAAGCTTTTAATACTTATAATTAATAAATAAATAACTATTGACAATCAATTTGATGATCTATTACGCCAGAATACCACAGTATGAAATCCCATATCTAAAATAGTTTTCTATTTAAAAAGTTAAAAAAATAATTTCCTTAATTGCTTATTTCGTTTTTTATCTTGCTAGAAATTCAACTTGGTCTTCAATAAATCGTTTGATTGAATGAAAATAGATAGGTACTTAAGAATTTATATAAATTAATAAAACAACTATACTTACAATTATTATTTTTCTTTGGAGTAGAATGTAAAAATGAATTTGAATTGTTTGAAAAATTATCACCATTCATCTGAAAATGTTAAAATGTTTTATTTAAGCAAAATTATTGATAGAAATGTTTACTTTTAACATAGACACAACTATGGTTAAGATTTTGGAGAGGTGGGCTAAGACCCACCTAACAAATCTATCATCTTTAAATAACCTATAAAGGGCTGATATCTAAATTAATAAAAGCTATTTTTGGGAGAGGGGCCACTGACTTAAAAAGAAATGTTGAAAATTATAGCAGATACCAGATATTAATGGAATTATTAATACTTGAAAATATTTTGAGTTAATGAATTCAAAACTTAGTTTCTTGTTTAAAATTAATCCTAACAGAATGTATAGAATTCTTGTTGTATGAGGTTTACTGCATGTTTCTAATGTAATGTGCGGTCTAACGCACACTTGCTATCTACCCCATATGTAATATATCACATACTTTTTTATAGTTAATTAAATTATAGTAGAAATATAGTATAATCGATTAAATGATACACAATAATTATGATAATTGAACAATACATAAATACAAGGATAGCAATAATGGTGATGTAACATGCATTTTTTTTTACTATTCAAAGTTTTAAACCTCCCCATAAACTTTCCATGCATTGTGTGTGAGCACTACTCACCACTGGCGAGATCAACGAAAAATTAGGAATGGTTTGTGATTTTACATCTACCCATTTAGTGTCTAATGTCTTACATGCAAACTATGCGAGTGTAGTTTCTGTAACAGTTTCAATTTAATTTTTAATTATTCCATGTAATGTTTGCCTAAGCTTTTTCTACAATGTATCTTCTTGCCTCCATAACACAATGTTTGCCTTTTTGACACATAAAAAATCTCATAAACCAGTACCTTTTTTGACATAATTTCGATTACTAAAATCAGGTTTCTCTTCAACGCTCACCTAGTTTACATCCACGTTTTTAGTAGAAATATCAGCCCTCAATAATCATCCTCAGTTGTACATTTTTTTTACTAAACATTAAAGATTCATCGACTTAAAAAATAGTATTTGTACCTACTATTTTCCTTCTTTTTTTCAAAAGCAATTATCAGTATGTCATGACGTAAATTCATCTAGTCATGCCCTATGCCCTTATCCCATCCGATTAATTTTATAATAGTATTTTTGGGTATTTCAAGACACTAGTAATATGATAATTCATATTTTAAATTTAAAACCGTCCACGAAGAAAAAAAAATATTTCATATCTCAATTTAATTTATTTTTGTTTGAATAATATTATTAAATACTTTTGATAAAGAGAAGAAAGCCATAATTTTGTCATTGGTATTAAAAATGTGTTTTTTTATATCGTATCTATATTCTTTTTGGGACAAACTGATGGTGATGTAAATTTTATATTTCATACTTACAGTAATAGAACACAACTGAGATTTATTTTCATTGAAAAGTCTTGAATCAGCATTTTTATTTTTTCTACTTTCCGATTGGTTTTTTACATATTCAATATTTTTTCTTAAATTAGTTTTAGCAATATCAGAGTTTATATCTGCACTATTGAAATCACTTTGAAGTGTTCTCATCATACTTTGATTTTTACACATGTTTATAAATTCAGTTGAATTTTCAATCGATCTATTTTTTTTACTATTCATTTCATAATTACTAACATTTTTATGACTATGAGGTGTATCTTCTTCAACTTGATTATCTATTAAACGCGTATACAATTCAGACACTATATTTGTATCATTACATTCATATAGTCTTGAATTTATCACATTTTTAGCATCAGATGGTTTTGAAGGCTTAATTTGTGTATCTGTAAATTAAAATGAATTAATATTCTTCACAATATATTATATAATATATAATAATACATCCACGGTTGGGCAGTATAAAAACTACAATTGTATCTTGTCAAAAAATTTTAAAGTAACAAGTATCTTACCAGTATAATGCATCTTATTATGCCAGAAGAAACAAGATTCAATTATTATAAACAATTTTACTGAATAGTGAATAATACACAGAAATTTGATTTTGATTGTACAACATTATGTATTATTCATTTATGACATGAAGAGTAATGAGTTTATGATTTGAATGATGTAATTTATAAATAGTGATGTATTAGTTATAAATTTATAATGCCTATTGACTTTGAATTATTTAATATTTATGACTTTATAAGTATTTAAATATAGCTTATTGTTAATTAAATTCAATAAATTGGAAGTATAAAATATGGAGTACTGATGTATTATGATACTTTTTATCTTGCCCAACCCAGAGTATATCATATGAATTTTAAGATTAAAATAACCATAAATAATATTGAATGATGAGACTTAACAAATATTGTTAATACAATAAATATTTTACAAGAAATAAAATATAAAAGTTATAAGATTAAGGTAGGAAGTTTTTATAATAATTCTTCCTTACAATTATATCTATATACAACTACACACAACAATTAATGTTGATTGTCTTGACCAAATCATTTAAAAATATTAATAAACTTCACATTTCTGCATCAATTGTAATTGAAATCATAAGTTACACATAATATTCATAAAGATTCCCTTAAACTATTGTTTTTATTATTACAAGTTAATTTAAAACATAAAATGTTGATATAATTAATTTGTACTAATACTAATAATAATAATAATTTAAATTTAAATTAATTTTCTGAATGATCTAAAACATTGCTTTTCAAACACAAAATTTGTTACATTCATCAAATAATTTATAAATAAAACTAAACAATAATATTTATATCCAATGTTAATAGTTACCTGTATCGCGGTCTATAATGGGTATATTAGTATTAAAATGATGAGCATTTTTTAAAGAAACACTTGTATCATTTATATTTAAAAAACCACCCACTCGATTTTTTAAATCTTGCATACTCTTTACATTCATAATCAAATAGTCAGGATGATCTTTTACTATTTTCTTTAATTCATCTACAGTTATTGGCTGAAAAAAAAGATATAAGTTAACATAAGGTCTGAAGAATAGAACTAAAAACAATTTCTTCTATTGATTTAAAATGTTAGCATAAACATTTAACAGTATACAAAATAAAGTGCTTTAAATAAAATCATCTATAAATAGTTTAAAGGTAATAGGTAACTAACTATAATTTTTATGTATTAGATAATTTTCTTAATTTATTCTTGCATATATTATATATTTCAATTTATTAATTAACTGTTAAGATGCAATAGTGACAATTTTAAACCTAATAGAAAGCAAGATTAGCATTCTTTAATCTGTATTTAAATACAAAGTGTCTACTATTACAAACAAATACTAGTTGTTAGTTTCTACTTCCAACATATAATAATATATTAAAATAATCAAGAAAAAAATGTCTGCAGTAACTTATAAGTCATAATGTCTCATCATAACTCGTATACTCTATATTCAAGTCAATAAACATATATTTCTTGATATGAGATCAGGTGACACCGGTCGGTTACTCCCACAGAGACAACCATCTGAAGTGAATGAGTGAAAGCACACAAGTTGAACACAGTAAAATATTTCTAAACTTTAATAGAGTATAGATTTTATTTAATTAGTAAATCACTAACATATTATATTTAATTTTTATTTATTTAATGTATGATGTATACTCAAGTTAAAACTGAAAAAAAGGTTATTAGTAGGCATGTTGTATACTAAGCAACCAATAATAATTTAATAAATGACCGTTTCTTAATCAAGTGACAGTTGAAACAAATTATGTTTATAATCCAAAAAGTTACCGTTTGTTTTGCAAGTATGTATCTTTCTATATAAGAACGTAATTCATCTGTCACATAACCAGTACTGGAAATTGCATTTTGGTTAAAACCATTTCCATTCAAACCAGAATAACTTTTACTAAATGATGAACATGACTGGCTTAATTGATTATAGCTTATAGAAGAATTATTGGATCTATGAAAGTCACGTCTAGTATTTTGAGATTTGTTGTTTGTATAATTGTTGGTATTAGTCTGCATCATTTTATTGTAAGGGTTACATTTAGAATAATTGTTCTTTCCATTATAATTATTATGTGTTCTTTGACTATTCGTGTTTGATTTTGCCTTCTTCCTTTTATTATTTGGTCTTTGCTTAGTAATAAGCATTCTTAAATGGTTGGTCTTATCACCAACGACAAGAGATAACATAGATGATTCATTTGGATTTGGAGGGACCTAACATAAAAGAAAAAGGTATTCATTAGTTAATATTTAGTATTTAGCTTTCACAATAAACAAAAAAATTATAAAATACATATATTAAAAAAAATTATTTTTTTCTTACAATTACAACATCAGTTATATTTTGAAGCAGTTCAATGACTGAACTAAAGCCTAAACTTCTATAAGGTAAGTTACATCCTTCTTGTTCGCGGTAATCTTTTTGAAGCTGTAAAATACTGAGTGGTTTTTGCGAACTGGTTAACAGGCTCCTTACATTGATTTTGACTTCATTTAAATCTACTGCCATGATTATATGAGATTTATCTATTTCATAAGACATTTTTATCACCAATGATATATTAAAATAAGATAAAAGAGCATCATAATAACACATAATTTTTTAAGAATATAAAATATAACCCAAGTATGTATATACCTTGTTTTAATATTTAGTCTTAAGGTAAAGCCAAACTTAACAAGTTCCACAACCATTTATATCATATGAGGACATTTGACCCACAACAATCGTTTTATCAATTTCAGACATTTTACACCCAATATATTGGGTGTAAAAACACTCTGAAAAAACCGCGAATCAAATGTGACCTAAATTCATTATTTATAAGGCATTTAATTAAAATATTTTATGGTTTATTGCAACTATCTTAACAATTTTCTGGTAAACTAAAATTTTATGTAATTTTGTTTTTGCGACTAACACAGGTTAACACTGGGTAATATTATTTTAAGACAATCCTGTAATCTGCAAAACAAAATAATATAAATAGGTATGCATAACACAAAACTTAAAGAATATACAAATAATTAAAAGCGACGTCTTAAAATAATATTACTCAGCGTTAACCTGTGGTAATAGCAACAAAATAATTGAGTTCATCAGGAAATTGAGTAGATAACCGATATTTACTTTTTTTTTAAAAAGGGGTGGTAATCCCTGAAAGATGATGAAGCAAAGTTTCAGTATAATGCCTATTGGAGAGTTAATTTAATGCTATTTTATTTGGTAATATCATAAATTACATTCATTAAAACATAGTCTATAGACTTACAGATTTTTTAAATGATCAAATATGTAACTGTTCAATCTCTGTCCTTACAGTGACCATCAAAACAAAAGCAAATTGAAAAATTATGGAACTATTAATTTAAGTTTCATAGCATACAGCTTCCCATCACTTTGTTCAGCTTGGCGAAGTCCATTGACTTACAAATCAAATTAACACGTGGAACTGTGAAAGCATGAGGTATGATTATGAATCAAGAATTCTTTACAACAACGAATATAATATTATACACTGTTACGAATATAACGGTACATCAAGAAAAATACGCCATTTCAAACAAAGAATCGAAATTTTATCAGTAATATTATGAGACGAAATATGTAAGTTTATAACTTCAAAAGCGGCATAGGTAATTATTATAAATGTAACGATAATGTAAACAACGGTAGACCTAAATATTATCTCGCTTCGTTATTTGTTCGTGAACAGTATAGGCATTAGACAAAAGCACCGAGTCGCGAAGCAACGTGAATACTGACCACTGATTTGCGAGTTGGCGATTTACGTTTATCGCAGTTGCACTTTGCGAGATGAGTTGTAAACTTGTAACTTTAGTTTGCGAGTTATCAACCGTACACCGGTACGCTGAATGAGCGCCAGGCGGTATCGAATTGATACCAGCTGCTATGGAGGTAAGTTGTACATCACGGGTAAACTACAACTATTCGCTGTTTAGTATTGGCGGTATTTTAATAACTGATAAGGATAAAACCTACGCATGGTAAATCAGGCTGAACAACACTAGTTGCACCATAGAACGTACGGTCGCACCTAAGATCATACGATCTAAGGGTCGCACTAAAGTAATTAAATCATTTAAATCCAAAAAAAAAAAAGATAGACCTTATACCCAGGGAATCAAAACAAGATAGGGTCTTGTGTTCAAAATCTATGTGTACATCTTGTTTACAGATTTCAAATTTTGGTAATTTGGTATTTAAGATTCCTACTGTCATATTTTAAACTCCAGATTTGTATGGTCTCCCACAGACTCAAACTATGTTGTTTTTTTTAATGTAATGATTTACCATTAAATATTAAGAATTGCTTAATGATGTAATAGGCATGAACTAAGATATACTTTTAGGTATATCTTAGTTCATGGTAATAGGTATATAATACTTAAAAAGAAAATTTTAATTCGAAAATAAATAAATTTGGAAAATGGGACTTTTAAATTTCAATGTTGGTGCACTTGGTCAATTGTTGGTTTGTTAGTTTCTTCCAGGATATTACCTCGGCATGTTATCTCGGAGGAAGAACTGTCTGGAGCCCGTTAAATCGTAAGTCTATTTGTTTATTAGTTAATGTTAATATTTAATACCACGATGTAACAAAAATCAGATACTATTAATTCTCAATCATTAAATTAATTTCAATCAGAAGTAATCAATATTTATATCTTCATCGGTATTAAGCATTAAGCGACTGCTGTAACTGAAGTGTAAGTGATCTAAATTTGTGAATTTAAGTATTGGTATTTCTAATATTTTGTTGAGTAAATAATTATTGGTACATGACAACCTAGATTAAAGATGGATTCTACATTGAATGTTTCAAGATCCATGGATAACTCCATTTCCATGATAAATCAATCAATATCAGCCAAAGATAGTTTAGATCTATCTGGCAAAATGTTGGATCGATATTTTGCTGCAGACGACTCATTTCCAACACTTATTGAGAAAATGCAGATAACTAAAAGCAGTCAGTACCAAGCCATTTTATTAAAACTGTTTTTATAATATTTCATTTTTGTAATGGTATCAATTAAAATAAACAAATGTGCTTTTTTTTGTAATTTTAAGGTCAAAGTGTTAGTGGATGTACAGAATATGATTATCCTAAAGAAGGACTAGGGATGCCTTCAATTACTCCCCTTAAATCAAGACACAAGATACCTCTACCAGGAGCATTACTTGAGCAGTGGAATGGTACTTTTTAAACTTGTTAATGTTCAATATCCTATTTTTTTTTTTTTTAAAGAGTTAACTGCATGATGTGCTTAAAGAACATCAATGTTTTGTGCATCATACAATAATGATAATTAATTATAGTAAATACTTTTTAAACTTTTAATTACTCTTTATTTTATTACATATTGTTAATATAGATGCACAAAACTTTCATCGCAAGTTGGGGATATTTCCTAGTATCAACCGAGTTTGGGTAACAATTGATCAAGAATTCTTTCTATGGGACTATTGTGAAGGGTAATATTTTGTTAACTATAATCTAAATAATATTGTTTCAATATACAATTTTATATTTTAGAACGGATTTATCTTATTTTGATGGAATGAACTCAACAATTTTTGCAGTAGCACTGGTACCTCCTAAACCTAATGTATTTCAAGCCCACATTAAACATTTGTTAGTCTTAGCTACTGGATTAAACATTGCAATACTAGGAGTAACATTTAAAAAAGTTACTGGTGTTGATGGTAATTAAATTATATTAATATACTTACATTTTGCTATCACTAATTCAAAAAATGTTAATCATAGAAACTTGAAACATACCACTATTATTAAATCTGTCATTTTTATACACAATGCAATTTAAAAAATATTTAGAGTTAATTTAAGCTATTTGTGGGCTTTCTTTCTTTTGTTAGATTTGATAAAATATCTTTATGTTACGTGTTATTTGTTTTTAGTGAAATTAGTTCAATCTATCTGATTACTAATAGCATTATAAATACTTGGTTAATAAATTATAAAATGTCTTAAGTAATATAAGCTAAGGTTATGTCACCGTTCAGAAACATTTTTTGTGTACAATGATTTATAAATAAACACTTCCAGTTCAGTAACCTTCTCAGTGAAGAAGTACACTCGAAACCTACTACTACCTACCATCTTCCCCAGCTTTTAAAAAATGTAAATCATGATTTAAGCTTAAGACAGAATACAAATGTTACTGTCGCATACTTAATAATTCTGTATTTTATCATTAAAAAGTACATTTTATTTAACTCTTTTTTTTTCTTCTTAAACTTTGTGATTAAAATTAGTTTCAACCAATTTAACTGTTATAATATCACAAAATATAATTATAAAAATAATAAATTGTTTTTATTATTAGGTAAAACTGTAGAACAACTGGAACTCACTACAGATACCATTTATGAAGTTCCCACTGAAGGCGTAATAACCTCCAAAATTGTTGGAACTGACAGTGGACGTATTTTTCTTGCAAGTGAAGATGGTAACCTGTTTGAAATTGATTATTGGGTATTTATTGTCTTAAAGTTATTCTTTTTTAATACTAAATACCCACATGCTTTTTCAAGATTAATCCATTGTAGATATCGTTCTGATTTGTATCATGATTCGTATCATGTTAGCCAATATTATCATTGTTTTAGTCCTGTGAATTATTTTAACCAATTACTTAGAATAGTGTAACAAAGATAAAAGCGTTAAACTATTTGTATCCTACAAAAATTGAATTGCTAATATCAATTTTTCTCTACAAAAAATGAAATCAAAACATTTTTTATGGAAAAAAAATATATATGTTTTATATTTTTTAAATTCATTTGAATTTTCTGAATTTTTTTTTTGGCATTAACTTTTTAAAAATATTAATATGCAGTATTTTTTCCATATATTTAGAAAGATTTAGGATGGTTTTCAATTGGGAATGGAAGACGTTGCAAGAAAGTTTGTCATTCAACTGGTACTTTATCATATATTCTACCATCATTTTTTACCTATGCGATCACTGAACCTTCTGCCATTATTGAAGTAGCTGTTGATAATACACGACACATACTTTACACACTGACTGAAAATAGTTCAATTGAAATGTATGATCTTGGATCTGATGGTAAATCTACCAGCCGAATTGTTTCTTTGTCACATTCTAATCTTGAACATCAAGTTTCGAAACTGCTCAGGTAAATATATATTTTTTTAATAGCTTCTTATTTATTGTTAACCAGCCGCTAAGCTGTATACAATTCGGGTATTTTAATTTACTTTACAAAAGTCAAATATAACTAAATAATAATAGTATATGGCTTACTATTAATAGTAGATCAGTAAATAATTAATATTTCATAATTACACCCAGATAAACACAAACAAATAAGACTTTCCTTGCCACACCTATATATGTTGTCTTCGTCATAATAGTTTTTGCTATATTGTACATTTGTAAGACAGACAACACATGCGAGTGTAACTTCCTCTTAAAGACTGTCAATGTGTTACCTGGTGGTGAGGCAATAAAAAACAAATTTAATTTGAGTATTAACAAGGAATTTGGTATATTTTTTTCAGAACTATAGAAATAGCTCAAATGACTATATTGAGTAGTATACAAATCGTAGAAGAAACTGAATCACCTAACATTCATCTGTTGGTTGTATCCAAGTCTGGATTTAGATTGTATTTTTCTACTGGGGCAATAACCTCTAGCAATACTAGACCTTACACATTACAACTTGTACATATACGTTTGCCTCCAGGATATAATAGAGTTATTGGAGAATCTAAACCGAGTAGTGTTCAGCACGTGTTGTACAACAGAGGTATAATTTTAGTTTGTTATTGAAAGTTCAAAAATTTAATCTTTTTTGTTATACTTGGGCCATCATAGATATTTTTGCCTAGCATGTCCATCGTTATTTTACAAAGTGTTTTTGTTTGAAGGTACTATTATAATGGCATGCAACACTGACATAACTAATTATAGGCCAATGTTGTGGTGTATATCTCCAGATGAATATGCATTTAGTCCTAACTTTAGTGAAAGATATTTTATTACTGATTTGGATATGTGTCCTTTATCACTGGACAATATAGGACCAAATTTATTAATATACAATGACCCAAGTTCACCACAACCACCACTCATTGTTCGTCAACAATTTGAAAATCGCCAAGAATATATAACTTTAGCTCCACAGGTAAGTAATTTTGAGAAAAAATTGTGCTTACTCTTATACATAATTTGTTTTCTTATTATAGGGTTTGGAAATTTTTGAAATGCTTCGTCCTTATGACACTCTCTGTGAATTACTGGCTAGCAGTCAAGGTTCAGAAACAGATGCTATCAAAACATATTTTAAAAATTTCACAGATAACCAAGCATGTGTAGCATGTCTCACAATTATTTGTGATCAGTCATTAAAAAACATAAAGGTTTACTACTTCATTTTTTTATTTATAATTAGTTAAATGTATATATTTTATTGTAATTAGATCAAAGAATATGCTACTCGTGCATTTTTCACTCATGGCGGTGAGCCTAAATTAGTGACTGAAAATTTACATGAATCACTTCATGAATTAAGAGTTCCTCAAAATAATAGTAAGAACATATTATGTTTGCTAATTAGTGTTTATGTTTAATTTAGTTTATTTCAAATTTTTACTTATTATTATGACAAATTGAAAGTTTTAAATAATTATTTTGAAACGAACAGTCAACAAGATTTTTTTTTTAAAAAAACAATATTTTATGTTGACTTGTTTTATATTTTCAATGTAAAATTTAAATAATTCTTAATGCTAACTTTGTATGAGATATTTATTTTTATCGATGTATCCTTTATAAAGATGTATTGAGTAAACAACTCAAGGAATAAATGTGATACATCCAACTTTTTGAAATATAAAATTTCTTAGGTTTCAGACCAAGTAATTTGTTGACAACAACTATGCCATCATATATGCCAACTTTTATACAAAATCAGACAAATATAACACACTTACCATTTGAATCCACTAGTGTCCAGTACTCTTCGAAACACAATGGATTATATTTATTTGTGAGTCGTTTACTGAGACCTCTTTGGAACATTAAAGCTGTTAATATGGAGACCACTGATGGGAAAACTTATGTAATATATAAATTATGTTAAATTAATTTTACTAATGAATAAAAAACTAAATTCATAGCAATTACATTTTTGTTTGTAGATTGTAAATACTGTATCTCCAGATGATTGTTCGTTTGTTGCAAGCCATTTGCAAACTTTGCACTCTTTCATGAACAATTATTCAAAAATGTTGGCAAATTATACCAGAATACCATTTGACGCATCTAAACGAACAGCTGCTCAGGATGCACATCAATCTGAATCAAAATCTATAGAATGTTTGAAACAATTAGTTGTCCGTAGTGCTGAAGTGTTTAATTTGTGGAAGTTACTCAGTGAACATCAATTTTATATAATAGCTAAGGAATTAAATGATGTAAGTACAAAATTAGAAAACTTACCTTGTTTTTATTATTTTAGATTCCGAGCAAAACTATAAATTGGTCTTACAATTATATGAGAGTTTTTTTTATTGTGGCATAGCCTTTAAGAATTGTAAAAATACTTTGATTTTCAATTTATTTTTTGTTAGTAAAGTAGATCTAGTTGGTACTCAGAGTGGTCAAAAGTAAAAAATGTTCAGTACTTTTTTTAAAAATTGGGATGAATAAAAAACCAAAAAGTGTATGCAAAATTGATTTTCTTATTTTGTTGTTATTCTATAAATAATGACTGTGATTATCTGCTTAAAATTTTCACAAAATGTTTAAATTAGTATTTTCTATACATCAAACAATTTCAAAAATATTTTTATCTTTTTGATCTATTTATAGATATTTAAAATTTTAGGCTTATTTTCTTTTTCTATGAATGTCGATAAAAATATGCTTGAAAATTTAATGCAAGATCCCACATAAGTTGTTCATATATACATTTTATAATATTCATAATACAGAGGGGCACTATGTCTTTTTTTTTTTTACTATAAAACTTTTTATTAAACATAGTATATTTACTATCTATACAATGGTATAATCAGTAAGTGTGATGGCATAATAACAAAGAAACATTAATAACAGAAAAGGAAGGCTCCCTACAGTGCCACCTGACCAGAAATTAGGGTTTTAATTTTCTAATTTTTTTTTTTTTTTTATTACGTTTTTTAAGTATTTAGCAGATCTTTTGGCCATTGCCTTTTTAACCTTCTAGGTATAATTGAGGTAGAGGATATATGTTTAACTATGGGATTTGGATGAGCTCGAAGCTTTAAGTGAAATTGAATGTAGTAGGATTTGGCTAAGTCGTTGAGGGTTGGTATGTTCAGGTCTTTGTGGAGGTTTTTGTTGGTAACATACCATCGGGCAGCGGTTATTAGGCGTAGACATGGATTGGAATGCTTGCAAGGTTTTAGTGTTAGATGGTTTTGCTGGCCCCCATAGTTGGATGCCATAAAACCAAGCTGGACAAATTATTGATTTGTATATTGTGAGTTTGTTGGCTAGAGAAAGTTTTGATTTTAATAGAAGTCTCAGAAGATGCAGTCTAGAGTTCACTGACTTATGTTTTTGTGTAAGATGCGAGCTCCAGTTAAGGCGTTTGTCAAATATTAATCCTAGGTATTTTACTTCGTCTGACGAGGGAATTACTTTGTTGTTAAACGTGACAGGAGGGCAAACAGATTTGCGCATTGTAAAAGTTACATGAGTAGACTTATTTTCATTTATTTTTATTTTCCACTGTTTTGTCCAAAGGTTGATCATGTTAAGGTGACTTTGGATCATCTGACGAGCAGTAGCGGAATCCTTGTGTGACGCTGAAATTAGTGTGTCATCGGCATATGAACCAAGGAAAGTGTAGGGTGTTTTGGGGATGTTGTGAGTAAACACAGAATAAAGAAAAGGGGCGATGTCACTTCCTTGGGGGACACCCGCGCTAATATGATAGCTGGTTGAGTAGCTATTTTTAAGACGGACCTATGTCTTTTTTAATGAAGAGTTTAATTTCAAATTTTATAGAAGATTGGTCACCTTTTGTTATACAATGAGTTTTTTCAAAAGAGAATTCAAAAGTTAATAACAATAATATATAATATTATGTACTATTTTAATAATTATTAATTAATAATATAATAAGTGAAATGTTTTTACATAAATAAATTCAACCTACTTCATTACTATTATCAAAATAAATTACCTTAATATCAATATAAATATTATACATATAAAATATACCTACTATAGTCGGGGACATGAAAACTGGCCCCTGTCTATCACAAACCTAGCAGCCGTTTCTTCTCAACAAGTCCACAACGTAATTAAATTAATTGCCGCGTTTTTTTGAATTAAAAATTAATTTTCTGATAAAAAACCAGTTCTACTGGAACCTCTGAAAGACAGCTGCAAAATGTATTGTGGTAGCTGGTAAGGATACATAAAAAAAAACTATTCAACTAAAATGTATATTACAAGTGGCACTGTGACAGCCACGCAGTATGCAGTATAGGTTGAGAACCCATGACTACCGGGTAGGGAAGCAGTAGTGGGTCGGGGTACACAGGGGCCAGTTTTCGTGTCACCAATTATAGGCTATATAATCTGACCGATTGTTTTTGCTCAGAATCATTTTTTGTGTGTTCATATTTAACCCATCTGTAATGGATCTAATTTAGGCTTAAATTTAAAAAAAATGTTATATTGGTTATAGCAAGAACAACGTGTATTGGAAAGTGTTACTTTCAAAGAATTGATCCTTGCACACCAAGAACTATGTCAAACTTTGGTTCAAAAACTATTAGACACGTGAGTACAAGCAACACTAATTTAAAACATTTTGCGTTTTTGGGGCAGCTATTTTTTCCAATATTGACTGCCATACTGATTATAAAATATTTTATTCTAGTTCAAAAAAAATATTTTTGGTTCATTCTGTGATTTATAACAGCATAAAATATATATTTGGTAATAGGTGTAGGCGATTGTGGGTACTTTTAAGATACTTGTAGAATTATTTTTCATAATTAATTATAATTTTAAATGCATATTTGTCATCTAATTTTTAAAAAAATGAGATCTGTTTTAAAAGAGGATATTTTTTATTTATAGATATCTAAATGAAAGTTCATCTGTAGAATCAATTAGTACAAAATTACGACAAGTCTGTCCATCCATATACCATTCTGAAGACGCTGCTTGTGCAAAAGTATATATTTCAAATTTTAATGTTTATTTTTATTAGGTAGAGACTTGCCCAAATAACAAATTATTAATTAGAAATATTATGTGCTAAGAGGATGTCATACTCGCATGGCCCTATCCTGACGATTTGCAAAGCTCATGGCAGAGTAAAACTGCGGGGAAATTGTCATTAATCATTATGGTCAAGTGCCCCTTTATAGTGGGGGCTTGGTTTTAATTGTAACTGTTAAGAACAATAAATTATTTTATTCATTTGATTCTTTCAGGCTTCAGAAATGATTAAATTAGCGCAATCTACAGCTAATGAGGATGAGCGTAAACGAATTTTATACCAATCTCTCATGGTAATTATTGATTAAACAAAATTTTTTTTATATTTGTTATATATTTGGTTAAATTAGGTGTTGAAAGAAGTGGCACCAAAGTTTAACTTAACGTCAGTGTGTTTACAATACACAAATTGTGCGTATATGGAAGGCGTATATCAGATTTGTAAAGAGTGTGCTAAAAAAATTGATCCTAAGAATTTAGGAGGTCATTATTTTGTCAACAATATGGTATTGGATAGAGATGGACCAGGTTATGGTGCCTACATGCTCAGGTAATGTAAACTTTGCTTATTTATACTTAAGTTACTTTTGATTGAAGTTATATTTGAAATATGTTACTTTCAAAAATATGTTGATTTATATTTGTTATTAATTCAGATTAGATATTTACAAAGAAATAAGTGCAAGTTTAGATCACTTATACTCAATCATGGTGAAAAATCCATCTGTGTTTATACCCACTCGGCCAAATTTAATACCTGGAATTCTAGAAAATTCTGCACTAACTTCTGAACAATCTTCTAATTTGGTATTGATATTACTTTTTACTTTTATACGTGTTTACTTTTTAAAATAAATGTACATATATTTTCATATTTACAATATTGGTCAAATTATTGTTACAAACAGGTTTCTGAATTGATAAAATTGTGTATCTCCTGTGATGATGAAATCATGCACACTGTAGTGTATAGATGGATGATAGATAAAAAATTAATAAAAGAAACAATTGAAATGGGACATCATAGTTTGGAAAAGTTTTTATTGGCTCAGTCCCGGTCTGATGAAAACAATAACTATATCAAAGATGTACTCTGCAGATATTATGAGTACAATGGAAATTATAATGAGGCAGCTGAAGTTCTGGCATCATTGGCTAAAAGACCAGAGTAATTATAACTTTTATGACGTATTAAAACGCAATATTTATATTATAAATTATATTAACTAATTTTTTTTTTTTTATTTATCAGTTGCGGCTTAACTTTAAGCGATCGCCTTATGTATTTGGGCCGGGCTATGGCATGTTTACGCAGTAATAAGCTGAGTACACCAGCCTTCAATGTTACCAGTCTCAGAGATGTTGAAGATTTGTTACAAGTAGCTGAAATACAGAAAATGGTTGGTTCTGATGACCTTAATTTATTATTATTTTTTAATTCTTATGTATTTAATTGTTTAAACTAGATATTGGATTTATTGTCGTCGAGTCAAATTAATGGAAAAGCTGATATTATTGATAAGCTTAATAGCTGTCTATTTACATTAGGCGAAGTATGCATATGAAAATGATGGGAGAGAATGGTTATCAATAATAATATATTGTATTATTTAGCTTTACAGTAATTTTGCTGAACCGCATAGTCTATGGGAAGCTCAGTTGGCGATATTACAGCTTTCCAATCATGATGATCGTGAACTAGTCAATCAGATTTGGGAAAATATTTTATTAAAAGGTAAGTTATAAGTTCAAGTATAAAGTTTTAATTATTATTTTTAGTTAAGGGAGTGTTGGTGTCGGTTTTTCCAATCTTCCGCAATTCTATACAATTTGAATATTTTATTTTATATATAAGTACCTTAATTATTATACTTTTCCACTAATGTACCGCCAAATCCCTATTATTAAAGAGTAAGGGTTGAAACAATGTATTATATCAACAATATCAACAAAAATACCAGCTTTGGAAAAATGTTCACGCCTCATTGATGCTCTGAAAGATGAGAACTTTTTCAGGTTGAATCAAAACCCAAATTTTCATTTTACTTAAAATAGTACTAGAAAAATTCAATTGAAAAATAAAAAATATTGTAAATTAAATAAATGTATATTTCAGCTACTATAATTATAATTTTTAATTTTTATTTTTTTTATTTTACATTACATTACGGGACAAACCCTTTAAATACACGAATATAATATAATAAGTTATAGTAATTAGCTTTGTGGAAACGAGGCTCAGATTTAGAGGTGGAATGAAGGGTCAGTATTGGCAATACGCATAAGACGAATAATCGGTGAGTTAAGATAGTAGTTTGAGGAAGAGAATGGTATATGGAATGGAACAGATGAACGAGTACTACGGGAGGGGACCTTAAAGGAAATACGAGATAGTGATTCTGGACTGTCAATTTTAGAGGAGAGTAGATTAGATAGAAATGATATGTTTGCCGAGTGACGGCGATCAGCGAGACTTTCTAAGGAAAAATGGCAATTTTGGAAATCTGCCTTTGATCTCTGACCAGCAAAATTCCCTCTTCTTCTGAATACAAAAAAAGTAAACAAAATCCGACTATTTTAAAGAGCGTGAGAGTTTTTTTTGTATGTTTTCATACTGTAAACTATACTAGCCCCATCGCCGTTAACTTATTTTAAAATGTTTGTTTTTGTTATTTTTAATATTAAAAACAGATCTATTGGCCATGTGTATTCATAAGTATTTTTATATAATGGTGAAGGTACCTATCAAAGTTAAAAACCAAAGCATTGATTCCTTTTTAAATATGGTAAAATCATGGTGGTAAATTATATAGCTGAGTTTCATTGCAGGTGTAATAAATTTTATAACCAAAACGGTTAAGTATGCACTATAAATGCTTCAAATATTGGATTGTGTGCCTTGTATTTCAATACATGAAACATCAATGACAATAATTATTGATACAATAGCGTTATACGTCCTAAGTTTATTTTAATGTATCATTGTAGTTATACATTTTATAGTTGTTGTTTTTTTTTTTTTTTGAAAACAATTGTGTGTTGACCTTTGAAATAATTCTTTTCCCATATTTTTATTAGTTGTGGAAGATTGTGGAGATATTGGTGAGCACAACAAAATGACCATTGCTCTTGAAAAAATAAAGTCGTTGGCTAGTTCGCATCCAATTAATTCATCTACATTTGACTTAGGTATGTTACATGCTTGTTGGCTTTTCATTTCAAAAATAAACAAATAATAAAATATTTTTACTTATTTTAAGATTTGTTTTTTGTTTGTAGAGTATGTAACGACAATGTTGGAATATTTGAACTGTAACTTGGGTGGAGATTTGGAATCTGTATACACAACTATGTTAACTATTGGTGCTCCAATCGAATCTTTGGTAGCAATATACAAAAAGTAATGTCTTTAGCCAATTAAAAATTGTATTAGTAAAAATTATTAGTGTAATAATTTGAAATTAATATGTTAATCTATTTGTTTTGCAGAATTTATTCTACTAACGATCCACGGTGGCAAAAGACAAGTGAGCTACATGTATTAGAAGTTATCATGAGTTTGGCTCGATATTATTTACAAAATGTTGATTTATGGCCATCCGGAATGCAAAGGTAATAGTTATTCTACTATTTTCAATTATGAAAAATTATATTTTTGCTTTATTAGGAATAAATTTAATATTGAAATATTTTAGGAGATCCATTGCTGTGAATTTATTCGATTTGTTAGTTATTTGTCAAAACATGTTGTATAGCCGTTTTGCACATAGTCCACTGATCGAAGGTGTCATCGCTATCAAAAATGAACTTGACAACATCATTAAAAACTAACGTAGCAACAAATCTGATTTTTATACATTCTCCAAGCGTCAATTATTAATATGTTGTAAATTCCATATTTATTTCAAAAGATAAATGTAATATTTGTTTGAATTTTAAGCTGTTTACTTCAAAACTATTAACTAGTACTTTTGTAAATCATGTATTTGATATTATATTAACAGTTTGATTGTTTCAAAGATAATTTAATATTTTATCAAAACTGTCTGTATAATAATAATTATGTTGAAAATATCAAGTTTGTATTATTATGATTGTAATATTTAACGAGATTCCCTGTAAATAATTCAACAGAAGGAATATATTTAAGACACTTATGTTATACATTTAGGGGAATCTATAAATTACTTTTTCTATGTACTTATGTAATATCTTTTTTATTTTATCAATAATATTTACATATTAAAGTTTCATGAATTTAAAAGAAAAACATAGTTAATGCTAAATTGTTATCACAAAATGCATGGTGACACTGACCATGCATATAAATTATGGTTCCATTGGCTTACAAAGATGTATAATTCATTAAGCAGTATTGATGTTAACAAAAATGGAATTTGCAATTTTAATTTTTTTGTTTTTTTAAGTCTAGTTGATTCGCATTCTACAAAAACTATAAAATAATTGATAAAGTAATATAATAAACGAACGGTCCTACTTCAACCATCTTGAAGTGCCAACAATCATTGCACTTAAGAAACATTAAAAAAAAATCCAGTTAAAATGAGATAATCTGTCACTCAGAAAATTGTCTATACATACACTAAGATTTCATCAGACATTCGATATGCTACAGAAATTATTCAGAATTTAATGAAACACAAACGTTAACACTCAAACCATATTTTTATTTACTGATTTTTAGTTAAAATACCTGACAAATAAAATAAATATTTTAATGAAATGTAAAAATTATTGTCTTCAATAATCTATGTGACATCAGAAGTCCATGGGAACAATTATTTTAATCCAAATCAGATCCAAAAAGGAACATATGTTAAATTTATGAACTGAAATGCAAATAAGTCAAACGTGTTATCTATTTGATTTGTAACTTTATTATCACATGTAAATACTAATTATAGTGATAGTTAAGGCAAAAAATATAATTATCAGTTTTATATAAAAAAATAAACTTATGAGGTAGTTTTAAAGTACATTTAAATAACATGGTTAACATTTATAACAACAATTTACATAATTAATTATAACATTTAAACACAAGAAAATATATTCATCATATAAATATAAAGATTATTAGAGTAACAAATATAATCAATTACTGTCTTGTTAAATGTATCGATTGAAATATTTATATGAGCTATTAATTTATCATATTGTAAATCAAGATATTTTTAGGCACATCTTATGTTTTGACTATTAACTACCTAACTGTTCGTGATTATTATAATTTACAGGTGATGAAAAAATGTGATGTAGATATTTCAATAATATATTATATTAAGTAAAATTATTGTATAAATTAAATTACACATTTTTCATCAAATTAATAAAAATTGTAATTAATTTTGTATTACAAAAATATTCGTTCATCATTGAAAGGTAACAAAATTAAATAGCTATAAGTAGAAAAATAATAATAATTGCAAAATAAATAGCATAACAGTTCGTTCTACATAGTATATAATAAGATCTATTGAGTATATCAAAAATATATAATGTATTTAGTGATAACTGATTTCTAGAGCACAAAAATATTTAAAAAACTATAGTTAATTTAGATATTTACGACACTTTCTTGAAAGACAATGGCACGTGATTTTATCTTCCTCTAATGGGAATTTATAGTCATATGTGAGTTCTTCGCCTTGCAGAAGTTTTCTTTTAGCCAAAATCATTATATGCTTTTTGCCATGGATTGTTTCAATTTTAGAATGGCAATTGGGCTGTTGGATGAAAATATTTCATTAGATCATCATATTAAAGTTTAAGTTCCTTGTGTTTTAGGTAAAACACAACATTTAAGAATATAATGATATATTTACCTCACATGAGTGATTAATAAATCTAGAAGAATTTCCATTCATAGTTGCATCTACAACAATATCCTGATCGATCCTGAACATGTAACAATCAATCCCTTTTTTATTATAAAGTCTCTCACGCACGTCGCTCACTTCTGATCGAATAACCTGCAAGGATAAAAATGCAATTGATAAGTAATAAGTAAAAATAAATTTAAACATCAACAAACAACACTCACCTCCCCTGTATACTCGATGACATACTCCCCTTGTTCTATGTCCCTCAAACAAAACAATCCACGCCCATGAATATCTGATCGATATACACCAATAGTACTGGTCAATGCTTTGTTCATGTTTCTGTACTTCATCTCATTGGGCAAGGAATTAGCACGGCGACCACCAAAGTCTTCATTATTTGCTGACAACTTTGGAGGTTTTCTGTGCCTGGAAGCTAACCAGCTAAACATGTCATATCTGTTTTTTCTAACCACTATTCCTGTACGAGCACACCCTGAATGGTTTTCAGTAGTAGAGCCAACAACATCAGCGCCTTTATGGTATACTGGTTTGTATTTAACAAATTCTTTGGCGCCCGAAAGTTGTTCTAAGAGGTACTTTAAAAAATTATTGCTTAGGCCTAAAGATCGAATTGCTGATGTTATATCACTTGCATATGGATTGCTTGATGATAATTGGGGCATTTTACGTTCATTCCTAGATACTTGGACGGCATCAAAAAGTTTTGACCATATTTCAACAAGTGAACGATCTTTACAGAAGACACCATCAGCAGAACTCATTTCAAACATTAGGTGAGGCACTGACTGTTCACGTTCTGCTGTAGATGAAGACCATTGACGGCCTGGATATGTTTTATGATGGATAGTTTGTGTTTTTAATTGAGATGAGTTTTCTTGGACACTGGAAGTAATTTCTTTATTTGAAGCAACTGTTTTACTTTTATCGTTATTAACATTGTGGAAATTCAACAAAATACTTTCATAAGTGTTGGAAGATGAATTTATCACCATTTGTGATTTATCATTTCCAAAATTATTAGGTGATTCTGTTTCTACTTCCATAGGTTCGTAATTTATCAAAGATTTGTTCACTTCCATTGAAGTACTTGATTGTTTATCTGAATTTAATATTGGTGATGTGTTTATGCCTGTGACTAATGTAGATGAATATGTTTCTACTTTAGATATGTTTGATATTTTTTCTACATTGCGTACAGGTGGTTGTGGTTGTTCTTCCAACTGTTGCATAGCTAATGGTTTTTCTGTTTCTAATAGAGATGATGGATTTTCTGAATTTATAGGAATATGTACACCAAATAGTAATTGAGGGATTGATGAATTATCCAATTTTTGTAAATGTAGAGACTGAGTATTTCCCCCTTTTAAAAATGAAGAATTCATTTTTTCTAATTTTCTAGAACTAACGTCTTCAGTTATCTTTTGAGAAGGTAACACTTTTAAGGTTTTTACTGCAGAATTTAATGGTTTGAGTTTAGTTTTTAGAGATGACGATGAAGCACTTTCTAATTTCAATGCACATGGTGTAACATTTGACATAGCTTTAGGTGGTGATAAATAGCCTAATTTTATCGGAGAGGACTCCATGAATTCTGTATGTATTGAAACGGGCATCACTTCATTTATATCAGTTTTGGAAGGTTTAACATTTTCTGTAATATTTACAGGAGTTGCTATTTTAAATGAATGTGGTAGTTCAGCACACTTTGGAAGAATTCTCTTTTCTTCAATTCTTCTAGGTGAAATTTTATGTTCTTCGATTCTTTTTGAAGGATATGTTTTCATATTTGGTCTCTTCCATGGTTCTGGATTTACATTTCTCATGATATTCATAACACCAAACGCCTGATTTTCTACAGATTGCACTAAGCTATTAGGTATATTTTCTTTGGTATCATAACATTCAGTTAATCGCAACTTGCGATTAGAGTAGACTTTAGGCTGAGTACACATCACTTTACGTTCAGTTTTTATCTCAGATGTTACATTATATGACCACTCGTTTGAAATTGTTGGCTCTGTATTAATAATATAAAACTGATTTGAAATTGGTTCAACGGGTTTAGCAGGTTGGTAAATTTGAGGCGATTGTGTAAAAGTATAATTTGAAGCCATAGTAGTATATTGATCCAATCCAACTATCATGGGTTGTGAACTAAATAGTAAATTGTTACTCTGAGAGACATACATGTCCAATGGAGGACTGTTTAGAACTACTGTAGTGGGATCAACAACTGATGGTTGTACTATTACAGTTGGCGGAGTTTGGTATTGAAAACATGGCATGACAGATTGTGTTGGAGTACTGTTTATTGTTATGTACTGAACATCAGACACAGAAGGTTGAACAAATGAAGTGTGAATAGGCTGAAGTATGACAGTGTGAGGCGGTTCTTCTTCTTGATGTTGCTGATGATGTTCAGATTCTATTTGAGTGGCCGGAATATAATTTTGTTGAAGCACGATATTATGATCTTCTACTCGTACAACTACTTCTTCTAAAAGTGGGGAACAATCATCTTCAATTATCTTGTCAGATTTGTCGTCATCACTGGATTCACTTTCACTATCGATCTCATAATCAAAATTACAATTTACTAAATGTCTTTCATAACTCACACTAGTCCTATATGTCCGATGACATCTATTACATTTAACTGGTTGGTCATTTGTGCAATCATCAATGACATCAGTCAAATTGTCAAGTTGATATAATTCAAACTCGGATTCACAGTCACTTGAATCATACAGTCCATCAAATTGAGGAATTGATTTCGGTTTTAATCCGTAGCTATTAGAAAATATTTCCATTCTACAAGTTTCATCAATTGTGGATTCAAATTCAGAGTCTGTATCATAGTTTGGGTAAGCAAAACAATCAATACTACTCTCCATTTTAAAACGTTTGGCTTGAAAATTGGAATCAATTGGGCATTTTCTTTTTAAAGCTTCATAACACTTTTGTAAGTTATCCACCTGAATGGATGTAAACAAATTAATATCTAAATCTTGTTTACCGTCTTCGTTTTTGGTAAGATCAATTTCATTTTCTTGTTTGTTGTGATCAATAGTGTAGTTAAGTCTGTCAAATTTTAACTTTTCTACATAATTTTCCATCTTGGTTGTCCAATTGTACTGTATTAATTTCCAAGGTTCTTTTGTTGACCAGTAATATCGTTTGGCTTTAAAATTAATTGGCAAAATAGATTCATCACTGTCCGATAGAAATGGATGTAAATGTCCAATACAACTAATATACAATGAACCAATTAAAACATGAATCTCTGAGCTTTCTTTACGCTTTTGTTTTATGTCTTCTTGTTCTATGTAAATCAGTCTTTCTAATGTAAAATCTTTAACACTACAACGAGTATCAGATGCGTGATTATTACAGTAGACAGTTTTATTCTCGTTAAAAACACAAAATACTTTTCTAGCACATTGAAAATGATATGTCTTCACACAATTTCGATAACAGCATCCAACACTTGCACCTTTTTCATTGCAAACTACACATCGAACAAGTTTACCTCTAGAAAGAGCTAATTGAACGTTTTGTAAAGATCCATCAATTTCTTCAAAGACTTCAGAAGACCATAAAGCACAATTAGCATGGGCCCATATATTATCACCACAATAAAGAAGTCTTCCTTCTCGCATTGGAATGCCTTCGCCCAATTTCTTACAAAATTGACATACTCTTGTATCTTTTATTTTTGGAGTCAAATAATAATTATTTTCATCATTACCAATAATATCCTGTAGAGCTTTTATATCAGAATTAAGTAAATTAAATGAAAATTTAGGGATGAACTTAGGTGGACTTATGATTGGTAATGTATTTGATGAATAGGAACTTTTACGAGGAGAGTTCTTTTCAAAATCAGAGCTGAACCACGGAAAAACATCAGAAACAATTTTCTTATATTCTAACCGAAGTTCAGGCACATTAAATTTATCAATAGTACATAACATGTCATCGTTAAATTGACAAAGGGATTCATATTCGTTATTATTTACTTTCTGTTTTATTGTGACTAGTGTTGGGGTACCTTT